CATGTCATCTACAAATAATTTTAATTCTTCCTCTCAAATCTATATGCCTTTTCTTTATCTTGCATAACCTCCCTGGCTATATCCTCTAGTCCAAAGTTGAACAAAAGTGGCAAGAACAGATATCCTTCTTGTTTCTGATCTTAGGGGGAAAGCTTTTAGTCTTTCACTATTAAGATGTTTCACTATTGAGGTGTTTTTTTTGTAGATGCCTTTTTAAAAAAAATATTTATTTTTTTAGTTGTAGATGGACACAGTACCTTTATTTATTTATTCATTTTTATGTGGTACTGAGGATCGAACCCAGGCCCCTGCATATGCTGGCGAGAGTGCTCTACAGCTGAGCCACAACCCCTGCTCCTGTACATGCCTTTTATCAGGCAGAAGTTCCCTTCTATTCCTAGTTTATGGAGCATTTTTAATCTGAAAGTGTGAAATTCTGTCAAAGCTTTTTCCATGTCTTCTAACTACTGGGATTTGTCCTTTATTCTATGAATATTATATTGATTTTTTGATATTAAACTAACCTTGTATTCCTAGGATAAATCTAATTTGATCATGGTGTATAATCCTTTTTATGTCACTAGAGTCAGCTTACTAGTATACTATTGAGGTTTTTATATCTATGTTCATAAGGGCTAGTAGTCTGTGGTTTTCTTGTGATTATCTTTGTCTGATTGCTGGCTTCATAAAATGAGTTGGGACATGTTCCCTTTGGAAAAGTTTATGAAGGGTTAATATTATTTTTTGAATAGTTGATGAATTGCATCAATGGTGCCATATAGACAAGGCTTTGCTTTGTGGATAGCTTTAATTTTTTTTAAAAAATTACTAATTCAGTGTCTTAAACTGTAGGTTTAATTCAGGTTTTCTATCTCTACTTGAGTTGTCTTCAATAATCATATTTTTCTTGGAACTTTCATATAAATTTGTTGGTATACAATGTTTGTAGCATCCCATAGTAATCCTTTTTGCTTTCTTTTTTAAAAATTCATATGGTTTACCTCACTTGTTTTGGTTAAAAAAGAAAGTTTTACTGGATGCAAGTATGCCCATTCATTTATATACTGACTATGCTTGCCTGTATCAAAACTTCAGAGTTGAGTAGTTGTGATAGGGACTATACAGTCCACAAAGCCAAACATTAATTATCTGGCTCTTTATAGTATAAATTTGCTGACCTCTAGCTTAGGAGAATAAAAATCAAAGTTAAGGGGATGAGGTTAGAGTTGCCTAGTATGTGTGAGGCACTGGGTTCAATCTTCAACACCACATAAAATAATAAATAAATAAGTTTTAAAAAATCAAAGTTAAGTCCTCTAGTAGAGCAAAAGGTTGTGAGGAAAGTCTAAATGTTGAGTGAATTTTCAAGTGACTTGCTTAAGGGTATACCTATAATACCAAAGTTAGAAATACCATATAGTTTTATAAGTGTCAGTTCAAAGTTCCATTCCTGCCTTACCCCTCAGACATCACCCTTTATGGGGAAACAAACACCATATTCTGTACAAAGATCCAGGTTCATAGAATAGAGTTCCAAAGTAAAATGTATTCTGAGCAAGTAGGAAAAGAGTAATAAGGCCAAACTGAATAACAGTTTTCTTTCAGTTGAGAGAGGAAAGCAACATAAAAGCCTAAACCCACATAGCTTTTTCAATTGTCATTTTTTTTTTTTTTGCAATGCTAGGGATTGAATCCAGGACTGAATGTATGCTAGGCAAGTGCTATACCACTGACTACATCCTTAGCCCTCACAATGACTTATGACTAGCAAGACAGGCTATTAGTGAGGGCTCTCCCAGTTCTTTCCTGGCTTCACAAAGGTAGAATGAATCAATTCATCCCTCTTGTGCCCATATCACCTTGAAAATTTACCCTATTAGCATCTTTCATACACATTTTTACCCATATTGGTACTCCCTCACCATTTACCTTAGCAACCTTAGGCTCTGTGTAAAATATGCTCCAATGCAATGCAACCCTCCTCAGCTCTTGCACAAAAAAATATTCCCCATCATCTTTACTATCAGCAACAACTAAACTGTTGTCATCCACCATAATGGCTAGAAATGTCCAAATTATTTCCATAGGAAGCCAAATGTAGAGTTCCCACTTTTAAACAAACAGCTCCACAAATAGCACCTAACAGGGGTTAGTAACTTCATCAAGGATATCATTATAGCTGATAGATTACATAACACAGAAAATATTCTGAGTATAAAATTATTCCTTTCATGGAAAAACCTTGGCAATCATATCCAAACAAGCTCTGTGATGGATAATATCATAATAATGTTATTTCATGTGTAAGTGCAATGGGAACATCCATTATTCCAGATTTGGTGTGGGGTTTCCTACAAAAGTATTGTCATTCCAATTTTACCATTAGACCTGACAATAAGAAATAAATGAGGCTAAATTGAAGCTTTGGGCGAAGTCACTGAAAGGTCCAGAAACTCAAAGCAAATCCTTTAACTTATATCAAAGAACTTACAGATCAAGTGGGAAGATAAATTTGTCAGTACATTGAAGAATTTGCCAAGTTAGAGAAGAAATACTACAACTTTCCCTCTTTTGTTCCCTCTCAAAGACTAATGCCAGGCCATCATTCAATTCTCCTACCTCTGAAAAATATCAAATCTGTCACAAAGTCCTAGTTATTTCACCTCCAAAGTCTCCCCCTCTGTTGGAAATCTCTAATACCACTCCCTCCATCTAACCTATACATCTTCATTTCTCTGTGGGGTTGATGAGTGGAAGAAACTTGCCCCAATGTGGAGAGCAATACTTCCTCCCTCTGTTCTTCACCTTTCTCATTCATGTCTCTACTCTAGGAAAAAAATACAAGGTTTATATCTGCCCACCAACTAGTCTCTCAACCTTCAGTCTTCATGGTTTTCCATTCTCAGCATCACTCACTTGTATCTCACAACACTGTTAAAAAGAAAAATTAATTATATTACTTTTCCTTAAATCTGCTACAGAATTCCTGTAAGGCAAGAGCACACACCTCAGTTGGGCCCCCACCTAATTCTCCAGTATTGACCTTCTAGCTGCCTCTATGCATCATATAGATACCAACCACAGTGGATTACTCCAATAAAGAACCATTCTCTTCCATTTCCATATGTATGCACATATTGTTTCTCTTGAAAGTTCACTTTATTTTATTTATTCTTTAGTTGTAATTGGACAAAAAACCTTTATTTTATTTATTTTTATGTGGTGCTGAGGATCAAACCCAGGGCCTCACACGTGCTAGGGGAGTGCTCTACCGCTGAGCCACAACCCTAGCCCTTGAAAGTACACTTTTATAGCTAGCAAAATGCAGATTAAATGCCCCAACTGTTGTGGCCCTCCCTGACTTAAGATACTCTCATGGGGGCTGGGGTTGTGGCTCAGTGGCAGAGCATGTGTGGGGCCTGGGTTCAATCCTCAGCATCACATATAGATAAATAAATAAAGGCGTTGTGACCATCTACAACTAAAAAATATTTTTTTAAAAAAGATACTCTCATGGTTCCCACAGTTCTCTCTTCCAACATTTGACAATTCTCTTATGAACTAGAATTCTGCATACATACCTTACATTTATAGACCAGTCAATATTCAGGATTTGGTGTGGGGTTTCCACATGACAATACTTTTGTAGGAAACCCCACACCAAATCTATTAAAGATCTATGTCCCAATCAGTGGTAGCACCCTTGCTAGCATTTGCAATGCCCTGGGTTCAATTCCCAGCAACACACACACACACACACACACACACAAACATCTACATTCCCAATACCATATATACTGCAGGCCTCAATTATCTGATGACTTTATTAACTACCAGGAGTGAAAAAGTGGAGGATAGTAATATACCATTTTCATTATAAAAAAACATGAGTGATATTTCATTAAGTCCTTAAAATAGAACTTAAAGAATGTTTTTTATAAATATATATGCTCTCTTATTTGCTCTATAAAACTCAAAAATTCACTTCTCAAAACAATGCTATACAAACAACAATAAGTGTTGGTGAAGATGTTGGGGAAAAGGCATACTCATACATTGCTGGTGGGACTGCAAATTAGAAAAGCCAATATGGAAAGCAGTATGGAGATTCCTTGGAAAACTGGGAATGAAACCCACTATTTGACCCAACTATCCCACTCCTTGATCTATACTCAAAGGACTTAAAAACAGCATACTACAGGGACACAGAGACATCAGTGTTTATAGCAGCACAAATCACAATAGCTAAATTATGGAACCAACCTAGAAGCCCTTCAATAGATGAATGGATAAAGAAACTGTGGTACATATACACAATGGAATTTTACTCAGCATTAAAAGAGAATAAAATCATGGTACTTGCAGGTAAATGGATAGAGTTGGAGAATATCACACTAAGTAAGTAAGTCAATCCCCCAAAACCAAAGGCTGAATGCTTTCTCTAACATGCGGATGCTGATCCAAAATGGGGGTGGGGGAGGATGGGAGGAATGGAGGAACTTTAGATAGGGGAAAGGGAAGGGGATGGGAGGAATAGAGAAACTTTAGATATGGCAAAGGGGAGGGGGGAAGGGAGTGGGCATGAGGTAGGAAAGATGGTGGAATGAGATGGACATCATTACCCTAAGTACATGTATGAAAACACGAATGGTGTGACTATACTTTGTGTACAATCCAAGACATGAAAAATTGTGCTCCATATGTGTACTTTGAATTGAAATGCATTTTGCTGTCATGTATAACAAATTAGAATAAATAAATACATTTTTAAAAATTATGCTAGAAATAGTTTACAGAATAAACATCAGTAACATGATGGAATACAGTAGATAATGGGCCAGATTCCAGTTAGAATTATTTGATTGAAAGTTCGGATTTCTTTGTAATCTATTTCTTTCAGTCTCAGGCCTACTTCTTCTGCCTTATACTTATACCAACCTCAAACAACTTAACCATTCCCCTCTAATGTTAGACCTGTAAGTTCAGCCCCTGAAGCTTACCTGAGCTGAGATGCCAATAAGGAGCAGCCACTTCTGGTATTCATCAGTTCGGTAGTGGATCATCTGGCACCCAGCCAGACTAGCATGCCTATCAAACATCTTCATGGGCTGGGAGTCACCTTCCATGTTCCAGTGGTAGACCATGGTCTCAGTCACCAAGGCAATAGTGTTCACAGAGATCCATTTCCAAAATAACACCTCTTCTGCCATAGTATGAGACTTCATTTTACTCTTCAGCCCAATATTAAAGATTTGAAGAGTCTTCCCAGCTAGTATTTGATATTATAGAGATTAGAGAAAAATAAATTAAAAATAGAAAAGGAAAATTCTTATCCACTTAATTCTGAATCCTTTTAATATTACTCTAAATTGTAATATTTAAGTTAATCTGATTAACAAGAAAAAAGGCTGCCTGAGTAGTAATTGACCATATTTTGATGTCTAAATATTAAAAAGAACTTTCTATACATTAGATTCTTTATTTATTTTTTATTTTTTAGTTGTAGTTGGACCCAATACCTTTATTTTATTTATTTATTTTTATGTGGTACTGAGGATCAAACTCAGGGCCTTGCATGTGCTAGGTGAGTGCTCTGCCACTGAGCCACAACCCCAGCCCTACATTAGATTCTTCTTCAGAAGAATAACAACAAAAAATTAGTTCTATTGAAACAAGAAGCAGTTTTAGATTGGTTTCTTCTAGTTTTAAAACGTGTCTGGGGATGAGGGTGTAGCTCAGTGATACATGTACTTAGCATGTGAGAGGCCCTAGGTTCAATCCCCAACACCAAAATCCCTCCAAAACCAAAACCAACTTTTCTATATTAAGTTAACAAGAACATAAGACATCCTTTATTTTCTTTTTTTTCTTTTACTTATTTATTACTTAAATAGTGCTATTGTTGTCAAATAAAAATTTCTACAATGTTGGAAATATTCTAAATTTGCACTATTCACAGTGGACACTAGATATTTGTGGCTATTATTAGTCATTTGAAATGTATCTAATGAAATGTATCTAATGAAACACATTTCGGGGACAGAGATTTTACTTTTATTTAATTAAACAGTCATGTGGGCAGATAGGACAGCACAACTTTTTTTAAAATTTATTTCTTACATATGTGACAATAGTGGAATGCATTACATTCATAATTATCCATTCACAGCACAATTTTTCATAACTCTGTATATAAAGTATGTTCACGCCAAATTATGCCATTATACATGAACTCTTTTTTTTGCACTACAATTCTTAATACACTTTTATACCACAATTTATCATATCTCTGTATATAAGGTATGTTAACACGAGATGCATATCTTCATACATGTATTTTTTTTTTTAGAGAGAGAGAGAGAGAGAGAATTTTTAATATTTATTTTTTAGTTTTCGGCAGACACAACATCTTTGTATGTGGTGCTGAGGATCGAACCCGGGCCGCACGCATGCCAGGCAAGCTCGCTTCCGCTTGAGCCACATCCCCAGCCCCGATACATGTATTTTGTGTAATGATGACCATCACCTTCCACTGTCCTTGCTATTCCCCTTCCCACTCCCTTTCCCTCCCACCCCTCTTCCCTATCTAGAGGTAATCTTCCTCCCATGCTCTCCCTCCCTACCCCACTTTGAGTCAACCCCCTTATATCAGAGAAAACATTTGGCATTTGTTTTTTGGGGATTGGCTAACTTCACTTAGCATAATATTCTCTAATGCCATCCATTTACCTGCACATGCCATGATCTTATTCTTTTTTAGTGCTGACTAAAATTCCATTGTGTATAAATTCCACATTTTTTTTTTATCCATTCATCCACTGAAGAACATCTTGGTTGGCTCCACAGTTTAGCTATTGTGAATTGTACTGCTGTAAACATTTATGTAGCTTAGGACAGCACAACTCTTGATAAGAATTTAGTATCCAACTTCTGACAAGAGATTCATATTGTTTTCAACATTGGCAACGAGCTGATTTCTGATTTTGGAATCTATGTAAAACTTAGAGCTATCTGGGTATGGTGGTGCAGTCCTGTAATCCCAGTGATTTGGGAGGCTGAGGCAAGAAGATTGTGAGTTGGAGGCCAGCCTCAGCAACTTAGTGAGACCCTGTCTCAAAATAAAAAATTAAAATGGCTGGGTATGTAGCTCAGTGGTAGAGCACCCCTGGCTTCAATTCTCAGAACCAGGGGGGACCCTTAGTGGTAACATGAAATATTGAAATATTGCTCCTTACTAAGATCATGAACAAGGCAAGGGTTATTTCTCTGACCAATTATTTTGATATCATACTGGATACAATAGCCAGTGAGACAAGGCAAAAAAAAATTAAAAAAAAAGTAATAGTAAACCTCTCTTTTTTCAGAGATAGCATAATTATTTACAAAGAAAACACCAAGGAATTAAATATCCCCAAAACAATTCTTAGAATAGGTGAATATAGCAATGTTACAGAATACAAGGTCAATATATAAAAACATTGAATTTTGAAATTCTAGCAGCAAACTGAAAATAAATTTTAAAAAATCTATAATGCCACCAAAAACATAACCTTTAGAAATAAATTTAAAAGATATGCAAAACTTCTGCACTATAAAGCATAAAATGAGTCCAAGAAAAGCTTAAATAAAAAAAGGTGCATGGATCAGAACACTTACTAAGATGTTATTTCTCCCCGAATTTATCTATAGGTTCAGTGCGATCCCAACTAAAATCTCAGCATCCTTTAAAACAACAACAACAACAACAACAACAACAACAACAACTTTTTGTAGTTGTAGATGGACAGAATGCCTTTATTTATTTTTTATGTGGTGCTAAGGATTGAACTCAGTGCCTCACAAATGCTAGGCAAGTGCTCTGCCACTGAGCTACAACCCCAGCCCAAACATCCTTTTTATTTTATTTTTTTTAATAATTTTTATTTATTTTTATTGTTTAATTTTCGGTGGACACAACATCTTTGTGTGTATGTGGTGCTGAGGATCGAACCCGGGCCGCACGCATGCCAGGCAAGCGCGCTACCGCTTGAGCCACATCCCCAGCCCCTATCCTTTTTAAATTTAAGTATAAAATGCTGATTCTAAAATATATATGGAAATATAGAGGATAAAGAACAGTCATAAAGATTTTAGAAAAGAACAAAGTTGGAAGACTTACTACACCTGACTTAAATACTACAATGATACAGTAATAAAAATGTGTTATGGCCATAAGCATAAACTTACAGATCAATGAAAAAGAATTGAAATAGCTATATGCAATTGAACTGACAAAGGTGAGAAGAAAAAATATTCACATGGAATCTCAAGAGGACTTGAAATAGCCAAAATAATCTTGAAAAAGATCAAAGGTGGAGATCTCATACATCTGGACTTAAAACTTATTACAAAGTTAGATGTCATTAGGAATATAAAAAGAAAACTACATACAGAGAGAAAATATGTATAATCACAGAGCCAATCAATAATTTATATTCTGAATGTAGAAAGAAATGTTATAATTCAATAAGACAAATACATGCTTAAGAAATGGGTTAATGGCTCTGGGTTGAGGGAGGTGGGAGGGAATAAGTTGCAAAAGATGTTTTGTTAAGAGCGTACTAGAAAATTACAGCTTACCTATTCCCTGTATGTTATGTGCATTTCATTAACTTTGCTGTAATGGACAAAGGAGTCCTAATTTTATAATATACAGTCCCTACTAAGAGTTTGCCAATGTATGACAAAAGCAGAGTTAGTAAACACATTTTGTACAGAAACGCAGACTTCTGAGAAGGACTTTTTGAAGTGAAATTCTAATATCACATCTGAGTGATACATATGCCTATATCACATGTGATACAGGAAAGAAGGAAATGGAAGAAATGAAGGATTCTAGGCCAGAATAACCATGTGTGCAGTTTATTCAACACTACTTTGTACAACTGAAGTCCATATTTGAAAAATATAGTCTTTCTTGATGTTTAGAAGTGTACAAAGTATGTTAAAAGTAGAGGTAGCAAGTAAAACATTTTTTGAGGAAAAAACTGGTTAATGGGCTGGGCACATTATAATGCCTATAATTCCAGCAACTTGGGAGGCTAATGCAGGAGGATCACAAGTTTGAGGCCAGCATCAGCAACTTAGTGGGATCCTAAGCAACATAGCAAGACCCTGTTTCAAAATAAAAAGAGCTGTGAATATGGTTCACGGGCAAAGTGCCCCTGGTTTTAATCCCCCATACCCCCCCCCCCCAAAAAAAAGAGGGGGGTGAATATATATATAAGATCTTTATCACACATTGATCCGTTTGTTTTTATAATTCTTTGTAAAAAGCATTTTTAGATTCAGGGTCTAAATAAAAATCAGGCAGTCTGCTAATCTCTCAGTTATAATATTAGTGTTCTAGTAAATGATGAGCAACAAATGAAACATTCTACCAGCACTTTATGATCTTTTGGTTAAGGGCAAAAATATGTCTCCAGTTCTAAAGTATTCACCATGAATCTCTGAGCAGATAAGATGTGAAGAGGGACTGGCTTCTCCAGAAGACCTGGCAACCACATGGTCAAAGGATCTTGGTTACATGGCCAGGTACAGGGTACAAGGTCAGATTAGGTCATCAAGAGGAGGGTAGTGCTACCACAAGGGGATACCCTTGTCTTGAATCCTTTTGAAAATTTAGATCCACTTTTTGTGCTACCTAGGGAAAAAGGGTCATTACAGCACTGTTCTTGATTTCCATTGTAACTTAAAGGGAAATTGTCACTGTTATGGGATGATTTGAAAATTAGCCCTGACTTACCTTATTTTGCTCAGACACCTCATCCTATGTGAAATTGGCTTCCCTTCCACATGAGCCTATTGCATAAAAGCTAATACCTCCACCCCCACTTACTTGCATCCTGACCACAATATCCTTGCTTTATGGGACTAATGCAAAATTGTTTTTCTGAGTATGAACTTTCTGAGAGTATGATTATATGACTCTTTTTTGGTAACTTTCCATTTGCATGAGATGTACCTTACGATTATGATTGCTTCCCCTGCAAACTTTTTGTAGTTTTAGACCTTATAAGCATATTACTGCCCCCCAATCAGGGTCGAGGGTTGCACAACTGCTTGCTGCACTCTTGGCCCTGGATGGAAATAAAACTTTTGTCTTTACCTTAAAAGGCCTTAGAGAATTATTTATAAATTTGGGAATAACACCTTAACTTCACAATGTCTGGAGGCCTTGATGTCCTGCAAATGAGGAAGGAGGATGTCCCCAAATTCCTTGCAGCAGGAACCCACTTATGTGGCACCAACCTTGATTTCTAGATGGAACAATATATCTTAAAAGGAAAAGTGATGGCATCTATATCATAAATTTGAAGAGGACCTGGGAGAAGCTTCTGCTGGCAGCTCGTACCATTGTTGCCATTGAAAATCCTGCTGATGTCAGTGTCAAATCCTCTAGGAATACTGGCCAGTGAGCTGTGCTGAAGTTTGCTGCTGCCATGGAGCCACTCCTATTGCTAGCTGCTTCACTCCTGGAACTTCACTAACAAGGCAGCCTTCTAGGAGTCATGTCTTCTGGTATTTACTGGTCTCAGGACTGACCACCAGTCTCTTACAGAAGCATCTTATGTCAACCTGCCTACCATTGCTCTGTGTAACAGATTGTCCTCTGTGCTATGTGGATATTGCCATTCCATTCAATAAAGGGAACTCACTCTGTGGATGTGATGTGATGGACGCTGGCCCCAAAAGTTCTGTGCATGCATGGCACAATTTCCTGTGAACACCCAGGGCAGGTCATACCTGATATTTACTTCTACAGAGATCCTGAAGAGAATGAAAAAGAAGAGCAGGCTGTTGCTGAAAAAATTGTGACCAAGGAGAAATTTCGGAGCAAAGGGACTGCTCTAGCTCTTGAGTTCACTGCTACTCAACCTGAGGTTGTAGACTAGTCTGAAAGTGTGCAGGTACCCTTTATGCATATCTAAGCAGTTCTTTACTGAAGACTGGAGAGCCTGGCAGCCACTGAAGATTGGTATGCAGCTCCCACTGCTCAGTGCAGAGAGAACAACCACTTAGTGGTCTTGAGCTGTTCTTCTGTAAACACTTAAGCAAAAATAGAAATAAATTTATGGAAAATAAACACTTGTTTCTTTAAAAAAAAAAGAGGTCCAGTGCTTGAAAAGCCATTTTCCAATTACAAGACCTCACTGGGCCAAATGAGGTGGTTCACGAGATTCAAGATGAGACCCCTTCACTTCCTTGCTTTACCAGTACCTGCGGAAACCAGTTATGATCTGAAGTGAAATGACAGTGCTGGCAGAGTTTATTTGTAAGTCAATGATCTCTGTAATTCAATTGCCACACAAACACTTTTCTTTTTTAATTGTTTTTAGTGTTGGAGATTGAATAAAGGAATATTCTGTCACTGAGCTACATCTCCAGCACTTTTCAATTTTCATTTTGAGATGGGTCTTATTAAGTTGAAGAGGCTGGCCTCCAACTTGAAATCCCCCTGCCTCAGTCTCCCAAGTCACTGGGATTACAGAGGTGTGCCACCATGTCCAGCAAATATCTTCTTTTTAAAATACATTTTTTGTGGGCTGGGGCTGTAGCTCAGCGGCAGAGCACTTGCCTAGTGCATGTGAGGCACTGGGTCCAGTCCTCAGCACCACATAAAAATAAACAAATAAAATAAAGACATGCTGACCATCTATAACTATAAAAAATATTTTTTGCTTATTTTGATCTAGAGTTTTTAAAATACACTATACATCTTCCATGTGCCAAAAATTTGTACTATAAGAATCTGAAATCAACCAACAACCACAAAATTTAAGTAAAAATAGCAGAAAGCCTTAAATTGTATCTCTGTTTCCATAACTTCACATTTTCCTATACAAAAAGCACTTAACATTGCTACAGATGAAGAAATTCATAAGAAGTATGTGGGGGTGTGTCCACAGAAAGGCCATGCTGGTCTCCTGATGGACAGAAACCATCTCATAGAATGCCAACTTTAGACAAAGACTCTCTAAGACTAGGTTACAGGGAGATATCAGAGCAAGGCTGCTTTGAATTCTGTCTAAGAAGACAAAAACGAGGCTACTGTGCAATCTGCAAACTAACAACACTCCTCCTCCTATAGCTAGAACAAGTGACATGCTACTTCTTTACTAATTACAGCTTTTAAAATATTGTTATACATATATACATTTATATATATATATGAACAGTCCAATATATTTTGATATATTAATACAAGCATGGAATACATCTTATTCTAATTAGGATCCCAGTCTTATAGATGTACATGAGGTTGAGATTCACTCTGGAGTATTCATATATGTACATAGGAAAGTTATGGCAGATTCATTCCACTGTTTTTCCTACTCCTATCCCCCCTTCCTTCCCTTCATTCCCCTTTGTATAATCCACTGAAATTTTATTCTTCCCCTCCCTTCCTTGTTGTGGGTTAACATCTAGATATCAGAGAGAACATTCAATCTTTGGTTTTGGGTGACTGGCTTATTTAGCAGATAGTCTCCAGATCCATCCATGCAAATGTACTAATGTCATTCTTCTTCTTTATGGCTGAGTAATATTCTATTGTGTACCACAATTTCTTTATCCATTCAGTTGTTGATGGGCATCCACCAATTATAGCTTTATCCCCTCTGGTCTTCCTTTTCTCATAGATAAGATTCCTTGAGATGCCCTATCACAAAATCACCCCCACTTTCTGAAAATATCTAATCTATGGCAAATCTCTGCTTCCTTAGACTATCCTACAAATCATACAACTAAAGCCAAAATTCTAAATAAGGTTCTTAACTTATACCCTCTTACTGAGGTATACCCTAGTTTCATGCAGTGTGTGTTCTCTCACTGTATAACCAGAGTAATAAAACCAACTTGTTCAACTGCATGCATGTTGCTGGTGGTATTGGCTAGAGGGGGATGGCATCATCTAAGTACTATATTCTCTCTAGAAATTTTTACACACACACACACACACACACACACAAACACACCAAAAGATCCACAATGCACAATATTAAAGAGAATTGTGCTGGAGAACCAGGAAAAGGCAGGTCACTTCTGGTACTTGCTGTGAATACAAAATAACAACATGCTACATAAGATCTCTCTAAAATGATTTAAAATACAGAAAGAAAAACCAACAAGGGGAAAATGCCATAAAAAATAGCCAAGGCATAAGTGACAAAGTAAAAGAAATAGAATCATTAAGTTCATAAATTTAATACTTTTTTCAATTAAAATTAAAACAGTTTACACTCCTTATACTACATGTTCAAAAAGAAAAAACTTCGACAAAGCCAGACATAGTGGTGCACTGTCTCAAAATAGGTCCCTGTCTCAAAATAAAAAATAAAAAGGGCTGGGATGTGCCTCGGTGGTTGAGCAGTTGAACATCCCTGGGTTCAATCCCCAGAACCCCCCACCCCCCAAAAAACCCCAACTTTGACAAGACTTCAAGGAAAAAGGTAGACTTGGTAACAAAACAAAGATCTTTTGAATACAAAAACTTCAGTTATTTCTTTTTAAATAGAGGTCCTAACTTCCAGATGTCCTTATACCTACTGAAATGACAAAGTAGGCCCTATTTCTACAACAAAATAGAAGCTAAGGCAAAGCTAATATTTGGCATTCACAACATTTTTTAATGTCTTTATTTTATTTATTTATTTATTTATTTTGTAGTTGTAGATGGGCAGAATATCTTTATTTATTTATTTAATTTTTATGTGGTACTAAGGATCAAACCCAATGCCTCATGCATTAAGGCAAGTGCTCTGCCTCTCAGCTACAGCCCCAGCTCTAATGCCTTTATTTTACTTGTTTATTTTTATTTTTTTACATATTTTTTTAGTTGTCAATGGATCTTTATTTTATTTACATGCAGTTCTGAGAATCAAACCCAGTGTCTCATACATGATAGTCAAGTGCTCTACCACTGAGCTATAGCCTCAGTCCCATATTTGTTTATTTTTATATGGTGCTAAGGATTGAATCCAGGGCCTTACCTGTGCTAGGCAAGCACACTGCCACTGATTAGAGCCCCAGCCCATTCACAAATTTTTGGTCCAAAAATAGTTTTTATTTTTCAAGGTAAACAATTTTACATAAAACATTCACAAGTCCACTCTGTACAAAATTCCTTCATTTCCAAATCAAGGCAGTATGAAAAGATTCTATATTTTTCAAATTAACCTGAAAGTTTTTCATACCCAATGTTTCCTGTGTTCAGAGAAGTGAAATTCTATTAATGATCAGCTCTCCTTTCATGAGAGAGGGAGGTTTTTTGGCTTCTTCTCAGGATGCCTACAGCAGCCTTGTAGCAGGCCCTGACATGAAGGTACCCCAGAGCCCTCTATATGAGCACACATGGTACTGCTCTGGATTTCCAGACCTATGAAGACAAGGTTCTAGGCATTTGTTCCCTCTCCAGTGTGTCTGGCACAGTAGGTGACATTACAAAGCAGCTCTGGTTCTCATGGACTTCTTACAAGGGCACACTAAATATAGCTTCTGCTAAAATTTTTGGAATCAGGTTGAATACTACTTATGACACCTCACTGTAAGTTTACTGACACTTGTCTAATACATAAGGTAACAAAGTAGGTACAGTGAAATAAAATTCCTTTCCAAAAATATGTTGGGCTTACCTTTCAGAGCTATCACTTTAGAAGCTGGATTCATGATGGCACTCTCTGCTGAGATAGGACGCCTGATGGGTGCCATTGGGTCATTCATGTCAATAATCACCACTTGTGCCTGCTCCCCGACTTTCTCTCGGACACATATGAACTTGTCAGACTCCATAGTCAGTGTGCTAAATCCAATATTGGCTGGATTTATTCCTAGGTTTTGGAGCTAAATAGAGAAGAACCTTTGATTAAAGTAAGCTTTTCCTTTCTGAAAGAGATTATCTCTAGCCTAGTGTTAGCAAAGTCTAACAGAAGGAAGAGGAAAATGTATACTAGAGTTTAGAAAAAACTTAACATTAGGTTTTCCTTTCTATACTTGTAATAGTAACAGTCTAAAGGTCAAGAGAAGCCCTTGAGTTAACTTTCAAGGGGCTTAAAATCTGCAGGGGTGACAAGGCATGTGTAAGAATAAAGATAGCACCAGGGAGTATAAAGGTTGCCATAAGAGACACAGAAAGAGATGAGCTGGAGGGAGCCCACAAAAAACACCACCAGAGAAGGCACAGAGAAGTTCATCATTGAGGAGAGCTTTTGGGAGCTTCAGGGGAAGAAAATGGGGAAAGAGGAGACACAAATACTGGTTTTTCTAAAAAGCAAGTAAAAAGAAAAATTAGATAGGAATTTGTTTAAAACATCTCCCTAGACATCATTAAGTCTGCCTAAATCTGATTTTTACTTGTGAAAACCAAAACTAGGCAACTTTCTCCAAAGGCCAGCATATGAGAGTACCTGGATTAAATAAGACCTACTAATGGGATTTGCAACAATGAAATTCCCCAGAAAAACACATATTTAAGAAGCATACATAAAGAACCTATAAAGAACCATGTCTATTTCTATAAATTCCCCTGCCTCAACAAGCTACCTTTATTTTCACTTTATTTATTATTTGAAATGGGGTCTTGCTGTGTTGCCAAAGCTGGTCTGAAATTTCTAGGCTCAAGTGATTCTCCTGAGTCAGCCTCAGTGGCAGAGTAAGGGGAGGTGGCCACTGAATCAGCCAGTAACTGGGACTACAAGCACATGCCATTGAGAGGAGCTTTTCTTTGTGTTTTGTTTTGCAGTGCGGGGGGGATTGAACCCAGGGCATCCTGCATAACAGACCACTGAGTGTTCTATAACTCCAGAAGTTCTTTTTATAAAATTAATTAATTAATTTGTTTATTTAAACTAGGTATATATGACAGCAGAATGCATTCTGATTCACTGTACACAATTTTAGCACAACTTTTCATTTCTCTGGTTGTACATGATATGGCATCATACCATAAGTGCAGTTAACACATGTATCTAGGGTAATGATATCCATCTCATTTCAGACCTTCTTTTATTTTTAAATATTGTTCAGTTCAATCCCATCCCTACTGCTATTGTTTTGACCTTTTAACATCTGTTTCCTTGTGTAAACTTGTGTAAGTTTATTCCACCTACAAAGATAGTGAACCACTTGTTTAAAAATATCTACCACCTTTTGGAAGGAACAAGAATGAGACTGTTCATACTGTTGGTATAATTTTTATTCTATTATTTTTTTCTTTGTTATAGGTATGAATGCCTCAAAAGCAGGGACTGTATCCACCGTTTGTTGTCTTTGTAGCATAGTCTAACACACACTGGATATTCTAGCTACTGAGTTCAGCAGGCTGCAGAACAAAAGATTACCTCATCTGATCTTCCTACTAACCAAGGTTTTTTATTTTTATTTTTTTTTTAACTAAGAAATCATTCCAGGAGTTGGAGATGTGGCTCAGTGGTAAAGGGTTTACCTGATTCCTGAGTCTCCTCCATAAAAGTCCCAGAACTCAAGCCTGTTTTGCCTCTCTCTCCTATAGAGAGATGGCGTTTATTTGTCAGCTCTGACAAAAAACTCTCCTGTGCATTTCTGCCTGGTCTCTGTCTTTATTTCTTGCTTACCCGTCTCTCGTTCCTTGCTTTCCCTTTAATCCTCATCAAAATAACCAGTGACAAGGGGCTGGGGTTGTGGTTCAGTGGTAGAGTGCTTGCCTCACATGTGTGAGGCACTGGGTTCAATTCTCAGCACCACATATAAATAAATGAATAAAATAAAGGTCCATCAAACTAAAAAATATTTTTTAAAAAATAACCAGTAACATTCTTCAGATAACTAGAAAAAGCAATTCTCAAATTCATATAGGAGCTAGCTCACACTTTTGATGCCAGTGACTTGGGAGGCCAAGGCAGGAAGATTGCAAGTTCACGGCCAATCTCAACAACTATTTTAGTTAGGACTTTTGCCATTATGAACAAAAGACCCGAGAAGGTCTTTTAGAGGAGGAAAAGTTTATTTGGCTCACAGTTTCAGAAGTCTCTATCAATAGGTGGCCGACTCCACTGCTCTGGGCCTGAAGTGAAGCAGAACACCACCACAAAAGGAGGAAAGCAGTTCAGGACATGGCAACAAGAAAGCAAAAAAAGCACTCCGCTCACCAGGGACAAAATATAAACCCCAAAGGCATGCCCATAGTGACCTACCTCCTCTAGCCACCCTACCTACCTACAGTTACCTCCTAGTTAATCCACATAAATGGATTTATCATCCATTGATTATGTTAAGACTCGAATCAGTTCAACTCTGAAAATTCTGCAGTCTAACACATGTGCTTTTGGGGGATACCTCATTGGTAAACCCAAATAGCAACTTAGTGAGATTTTGTCTTGAAATAAAAAATAAAAAGGGTTGGAAATGTAGCTCATTCACAAAGTACCTCTGGGTCCAACCCATGGTGGTGGTACTGCTACTACTGCTGCTGCTACTACTACTAGTAATACTACTAATAATAATGAAGCACAAAGACTCCAAAGAGCCAAGGCAATTCTTAGGAAAAAAGGACAGTGCTGGAAGCATCACAATACTTTATTTCAGAATATACTATAGAGCCCCTGTAACAAAAACAGAAAGGTATTGTCATAAAAACAGACATAAAGACCAATATAATAGAATAGAGGACCCAGAAATAAACCCATGCATTCAAACCATCTGATTCTCAACAAGAGTCAAAAACATATACTGGAGGGGCTGGGGTTATAGCTCAGTGGTGGAGTACTTGCCTAGTTTGCAAACTAGTAAAGCCACTATGGAAATCAATATAAAGATTCCTCAAACAAAACAAAAATAGAACTACCATATGATCCAGCTACACCATTCCAGATATATATCTGAAGGAATCAAAGTCAGTATACAATAGAGATATCTGCATACTCATGTTTATCGTGACACTATTTACAATAGTTAAATTACAAATTGAGCCTAGATGCCCATAAATAGATAAATGGATAAAGAAAATGTAGTATATATACATAATGGAGTATTATTTAAACATAAAGAACAACAAAATCATGCCATTCTTATGAAAATGAATGGAACCAGAGATCATCATGTTAAGTGAAATAAGCCAGACTCAGAAAGGCAAGTATCACATGTTTTTTCTCATATGTGGAACTAGAAGGGGGGAAAAAAAAGACAACACAAAAGGGGGACTATTCGGAAAACAAAGGAAAGGCTACTGTAAGGAGAGGTTAGGCAGGGTAAGAGAAAGTAATAGGAAGGTACAATCTTCTCCCCTGAAATCCATTAGATTTGTGAACTCTTTGAAAAGAAAATCATGAATACTTGCAGTCGAAATGGGCTCACTTAAAAAGTCACACCGAATCAATCTCACTTTGTTTCTTCTTCTTATTTTTTTTTTCAGTACAAGGGATTGAACCCAGGAGAACTTAATCACTGAGTCACATTCCTATCCCTTTTTTTCATATTTTATTTAGAGACAGGGTCTCGCTGAGTTGCTTAGCGTCTTGCTAAATTGCTGAGGCTGGCTTTCAACTCGTGATCCTTCTGTCTCAGCCTCCTGAGCCACTGGGATTATAGTCATGTGCCAACCACCCAACTCAACCTCATTTTCTTGAAAGCAAAAGTAATAGAATAAAATTTCATTTCAATAAGCGATCTAGTTTAGGTCTGCTGAGGTAGCTTAAAGTAATTTTATAGACATTAAATTCTCATTGTAAGACTTTTATCTATGGCACCTTTATAGTATACAGAGCTTTGTTTGTATTAGTTTCTTCTCAAATTGAAAGTAAGGTCTCATCATTTGGATCCATTAAAACATTCAGCATTGGCTGGGGGATATAGCTTGGTGATATGGGACTTCCCTAGCATGCACAAGGCCCTAGATCCAATCCTCAATACCACACACAGACAAAAACAAAGGAAAAACTTTAGCACAGAAAAGCCCAAACAACACATGAAACAAAAGGCTCCTGGAATGAGATAGAGAGGCATGGAGCAAGCTTATATACTATCAGAAGTTCAGTTGAACCACACCCCATTGGCATAGACCATATGTGTCACTGTCTATCTGATGCTGAGTCCCAGTACTCTGACTTTAACCATCTGCTAGTCAATATTTTGAACAATTACTATGGTCAATCATTCCTCATATCAGGAATGATTTTATTATCTGCTAAAGGGATACTGTCAACATAAGAGGCCAACCTGAATAGGTCTGAAAGGACTATAAAATAAAAAAGATAAAATTACACAAATTCAAACAAATAGTACATTTGTGTTAAATATCAAAAAATAGGATCAAGATAGCCAGCCACAGTGGCACTAAAATAAAATGTCAATCAAATGCAGTATGAGCCTTCTTTGGATGCTAATTCAAATAAACCAAATAGATAAAATAATTGATACAAAAGAGAAATTTACACTGACAAGATACTGAATAACACTAAGGGATGACTTTTTTTTTAGGTGCAATAATGTTGTTAGAGTACATGTTAAAAATAAAAGTTTTAATGTACATTGATGGGTTAAAAGATGTAGTGGATACATATAACTGGATTATTACTTAGCCTTAAAAAGGATGGAAATTCTGACACATATAATTTCACAGATGAACTCTGCTATAGTTTTGTTACGAGATGTCTCACAAATTCTCATGTGTGAGACAACACAAGAATTTTCAGAAACGAAATGATCAGATTACGAGATATGACCTAATCAGTCACATGCAGGATTAACTGGGTGTAACTGTAGGCAGGTAGGGTGTGGCTGGAGGAAGTAGGTCACTGGGGATGTGACTGTGGGATTTATATTTTGTCCCTAGCAAGCACAGCTCTTTTTGCTTCTTGGTTGCCATGTCC